AATGTCCTTGCCCCAACCGTGCTTACTCGTTTCCCCAGCCCCACAAACACTAGAGCACCTCCAGCTGCGCCCCAGCATCAGAGGTATTCGCAGTCATTACCACACACCACTGCTGCGCCATACAGTCCTCCACTGTCTACGCGGCCGCCTCAACCCCTGCACGACACGGCGCCGTCGCAACCACCAACTGTCAACTCCCGCCAAGACTCTGCAGTTGCTCAGCACCCCTACGACCACCCCAAGGACACTGAGCATTCTGTTCCTTCATCCGCCTTTTCTTTTTCCTATGTTCACCCTGCCATCGATAGCCGTCGTCAGTCAGCATCTCGCCCCGTCTCCCACCCTATCGGGCCATCTGCACCCCATTCCCCTCCAGGCGAGTCCCGCTTGAACCAAAGCCAGCCCCCTCCAGAAACCGGAGCAGCTGGCCTAAGAACGGTGCACCCTCCGCCACAGTCTACACCCGCTCAGTTTGCACCAGAACCCACTAGGTCACCACAACAGGGGCGAGTCCCTGCTGCAGCACCAAACTCGGACTCTGGATTCAGGAACCCCCTGCCTTCTCCCACTCTCGACCAGACCAACGGCGGTGGGCGACACCAACGCTACAACGTCCGCTTCAACACAGTCTACACTTCAGAAAACATGCCACCTAGCCAGAAACCCAGGAACGACCCTCCGCCGACGGCACCTCCAACAGCAGAGCTAGCTGAAGACCACAAATCGCCCTCGGAGCAGACTGTTACGCCATCAGTCGAGCCTGTCACTCCATCAGCGATTCCCCGACCACAGTCCCCTGAGGAGCAGCCGCCACTACAGCAGCAGAATGCTCCTCAATTAGAGCGATGCAAAGGATGTCAGGAGCCCTGGAGACGGCCGCTACCTGGCGAAGACCAGTACCGACTGAGTTCGCCAGCACAAAACATGAGCGACCAACTGGCCTTGACACAGGACTTCATCAAGCGGCTAGAGAACCATGCCAAGTTTGCTGACGAGGCATATGCCACCTGGCAACGGAAACACCGGTGGTGCGTTGTGCAGCAGCCCACGAGCCCTCCTGCGACAGATGCTCCAGCAGAAGCACGCAGCAAGAGCGAGGAAGGGCACTCTCCCACCGAGGCTCCCGCAAGCCTGGTTTCGACCAAGCGCAAATCAGAAGTCCCCCACGAAGCTTCTAAGTATCGCAAAGTCAACAACTTTGAATCCCAATCTAACGTCACGCCGCCCGTTCGTCCTACTGCTCCGGCATAAAACAAGGGGCTTTTACCATGCCATCTACGATTATTCCTCACTGGAGACTCGAGTCTCTGTTTTGTTTGCATTCGCATCTGCATCTTGGCCGGTGTTTGTGTCTGCACAAGAGACGGCTTCCGCTATACCCCAACCCGGGCGTCGTACTCACTTTTTGCAGCTTGGCTTCTACTACTGGCACTTGGTTCTTTATTTTTTATTTTATTTTTCTTATATCAGAGGTACACTGCACAGAGGATCCGTGCTAGACGGACAGGAAAAGGACCGGCGTTGTCATTATCCCACGGTGTTTCCCTTTGCGGCGTGGTTCCCACCATCGCCACGGTCTCTCAGACGAGCGGCGTGTGCAGAGCGCGCCCGCCGATTTTGTGCGCTTCACGACGCCATGTATCCGACGCTGTACGCAAATAGGCCCTTTGGCATTGCGTTTTGCATCACCACCCTTGCTTGCAGGCGGGCCTTATTCTTAGCGTCTGTAATATGTACCTACTGCACCTGTTGTTTACTGCACGGTATTGCCATATACCCAAATTCCAAGTCATGTTCAAAAAAAGGCAAAAAAAACATTCGCTTTCTCCCGCTCTTCCACTTTCCCCGTCTTCCCCCTTCTCCGTCTTTCCCGGAGGTCCCCAATGCATGGATTCCCAATTCCCGAGTGACGGCACCATTGCTCAGGCGTGAAACTCGAGAGCGTAATGAAGAAAAGGGCCCCAGTATAGGGTGGGCAAAACAAGGGTACCATTGGGTTGCGCCCGCCCCGCTGAAGAGGACCCGGTCAGTGTCAAAGCGGATCGGTACGAAACCCAAAGGCTGATTGAGAAGGTAGGCGGCCGCTAGAACAAGGACGTGATTTTTTCCCTGTGGCTCGTACATAATCTCGATTCATGCTGGCAGGCTTGCCTTTGTTGGCCAAAAGGAGGATTGGTGGGAGTCGTTTTTTCTTGGTCCTGGCTCTTTTTTGGAAAGACAGACAGGCAGAGCAAGGCTGGGCAGGGCAGGGCAAGCACGACACGAGGAAGAGAAAATCACAGCGGCAATTTCACACACTCAACAAAAAGCTCTAGCCATCGACATCATCCAGCGCCGCAGACACTAGGACGGGGCCGCAAATCACATGGTCGGAATTCCTTCCAGCTTACACTATGTGATTACCTGCATGACTAGCTACGCCCTTACATTGCTGGTGGAAACGGTATGGAATGACACGGCTGACGGCTGACGGCTGCCGAGCGGGGCTTCCCGAGTCGTCAACGCTGCTGAACTGGCGATGCAACGAATCACACCTGATCGCGCGAGCTGCCTACTTTGGTCAAGCGGAAATTTGCGACGGCGCCTGATATATATGTGTGTGAGTGTGAGTAAGTGGGTTTGTGCGTGTGTGTATGGGAGAAAGATAGGAGGTTAGCAGAAGCTATCGAGGGGAGGGGAGGGCAGTGTGACATGTGAGAGGGGCGGGTCGGTATTGGAGATGGGCGCGGCAGATAATAGACAAGCGACAGGGACAAGCAAGAGAGATATCAATATGGCGAGAGAATTAGCAACATGGAGGGAGAAGAAGAATAGCCCTAGAGGGAAGCGTTTGGTAAGCAGTAGGTGTGCAGCTAGTGGGTGAGGGGGGCAGGTGATTGGCGGGCTCGCAGGGAATTGGCAGGTGCTGATGCGGGGCGGGGCGGGCTGACGGAGATCTCTGGGAAGGGAAAAATCAAGGTTCACACTGGCGGCAGGGACAACGCACATAGTGGTTCGGCGGCAAGAGTCAACTATGACCTCATCGCCGAGTCGCGGGCTGGGGGGGGGAGGGGGGCAAAATGGCCGCAGTCATGTACCCTAGGCAAGACGTGGATGGAAAGAGGTTGATGCAGGCAGATGCAAGCACGAGAACAAGCCCGGCGGACCGCGACCCATGGCCAGGAGAGGGTGGGAGGTGCTACTACACCCAAAGAAAACGGTTTTTGGCGCATGTTGCCACGATTCTCACGCGATTGTGTGCCGATCGCGCAGGTTAGCGCAGCGAGCCACGCATGCTCTGTACCTCGATGGGTATTGCTACAGCAGGACCCATGGCGGGCGGGTGGTCGAGAGGTCGCTTATTTTGCACGCAAAGGGAACAAATGCGAGAAGTAATCCAGTTCCGAATTGCTGGGACTCTCTGACGGCAAGGGGTTGGAACACGGTTGCAACGTCTTTTTGAGCAGAGTGGTTAGTGACGATCACTCGGCGCTGGTAGCAGCTTCGGGCAATGCTGCGTATTGATTGCAGACGAGAGGTCTAGCGCGGCAGCCAAACTTTGTCGGGTCATGCTAACGGCTTGGGAATGCTCGTCAAGTCGCATCGCGCCTCACAGACAGTGGGGAGGGGGGAGGGGGGGAAGGGACCGCAATCGGGCCGTAACGTGATTGCGCTCTCGCTGCTTGGGACACTCGGAGCTCGCTACCAATAGCAATGCCGAAGAGCTGCTGGCAGGCAATGCCGCGGCCTTGTCAAACTGCCGCTGACATGGCATGTCTGGCACGTGACTGGCTGGCTCGGCGCCGGTCCCGGCAGCACCTCTGCCCCTCTGCCAGGCAGCTGGTTCATACTATATAGTATGTAGTATACGTCGTCCTTACATGTACGTATTATGTATGTATGTATGTATGTATGTATGTATGTATGTATGTATGTATGTACATACAGTAAGTACTACATATACATCACGCAGACGTTAGCAGCCACGTAGCACACGTCGGCTGTCGAGCCCGTCGCTGCACGTCTTAATCTGCCATGCAACTCCAACGCTCTAGGCGCCCTGCCTGCACTGGTACCGCTCCAGCTCTTTCCCCATGCAGCGCACAGTATACCAGTGGCGTCCATTCCAAATTCCGCTTCCCCAGCTTGGCGATGCATCATCGACAACGGGAGGGCACAGACAGCACCCGTCCCCGTCGGCGAGTCAGGCCCCTGTCGAGCGCTAGCTGCTCCCGCCTAGCCTTGGTCCCGACCTGGCTTCCTGTCCCTGACTGGCGTCGCATCCAACTCCCACCACCTCGAGTCACGCCCGTCGGCCTGCTCCCTCCCACTCCCTCGCCCCTCGCCTCGCGCGGAACCTCACGCTTGACTCGTCAAAACTTGCAAACAACTGGGATCTGGCGGCCCCGGCTCACAAACTGCCGCTGCTGCGCGTCCCGGCCAATTTCTCCCGCCCTGCTGGCACGTGCATGACTCACGTTGCCTCCTCCCCCGGCTGCACACTGCCATTCCCACCACCCCTCGTCCTGTGACAGCTGTCAATACTCAGGCCCTTTTATGCACCCGAGCCCTATCAGGCAAGAGACGGGTCCCGGCTGAATTGGGCCGACAGTTGCTGTAAATGGGCCATGCGCGCTCCATGATCATCGTCAGCGATATAGATTGAGATACATGGCCTTGCCATGCCCAGCCAGCCAGGCCACCGAGGGAAGACTGCTTCCGTCCCAAACCAGCCTTCTCCGCCTGCGAATCCTTCGAACCCTCACCCACCCAATCACACCCTCGCTCCTGAGGCATTTCTCACCGACCTGGCAAATGGGACGTTGCGAATTTCATCCTTGCCTTACGTTTTTCATTTTCTTGTTTGAGCCTACACCTGTCACAGCAGGACCAAACATCAAACACCAAGCATGCCATGCCAGTGTGGGACAAGGCCGTTGAATCGTTCCAGTCAATGAAATACTTTGCTATGCGCATGTACACGACTTACTGACCGCATCGTAGGGAGTCGTCTCAGATACTACACACCCAAACACGGCCATGATTACCCAAATCACCATGGATGCACTACGTATCTATATGCAAAAGATATCGCGCCAAACCCTAGCCTTAGCAGCCTCATACATACACGCACACACACACACACATACACACGCGCGTTCTATTGCCTCACTACTCCGTTCCATTATTATCACGGCCCCAGAATGGCAATCTCAGCGTTTCAACCCGCCTCGGATCAGAATCTACAGGGTTCTCGCTTCTGACCGACTGGCTGGGCCTCGAGTCCGATGTATATTTGTGACGTGTTCTCCCCATGGCACAAATGCACATCTATATGTGTATGTGTGCGCAACATGTCCTGCTGCCATCCACATTCAGTCTCTATCTCGTCGCCTCGTTTTCCGCACGTCAATCTTCTACCACACTTGGCGACGGGTCGTGTTCTGGTTTTGACTCAACCCTGACCCTGGCGCCTTCTTCCGACAGGTCCGGAGTTTGGTTCCGACCTACACACGTTCACCCAGCGTTAGAGATGACATGTTGTGTCCATATCGGACCCATCGAAAACATCTAGATTATCTGGAATTATCGCGATCATCTAGATTTGTGTATCGCGATTAACCCGTTCTGACGGGTGGTGACGCTAGATCCGGCCCGCCGCCCAGCCTCACATACACGCACACGTACACCCATACGACTGGAAGAACGCCCCAAACTCCAGTTTTATTCCTGCCAAAACCACTTTCGTGAATGCTAATGCACGTCACACCAATATGCCATCCCGCCCGCCGCCTGCACCGCCTCTTCCCAGTGTCCCCTAATTTGTATACGGGTTTATGTACCGCATAGCCCCCCGAGATGTGTTGTTCTGATGCGCACACCCACTTTTTTGGGAATCCCGCTTGGCGCACCATTGACACGGCTACGTTCCGTTCGTGATGACAGAAACAGAACTCCGAGCGAGTGGCCTCGGTATGAAATTCCGTCCAATCATTCATTGGCCCGGCCAAATATCCGGGCACAGTGTGTTGGAGCTTAGTGCTGAATACAGTTTCGAGATCAGTAATCACATAATAGACAAACAGCATAGTGTGTATGTATCATGAACTTAGAATGAAGTAGAGAGTTTTCAAATGATAATCAGAGGTTTACGTTGTGCACATGGAGATCTCCTGCCTCGCTAGCTATCTTTGGAACACAAAAAAGGGCGAAGGAAGCGACGCAAGAGAAAAAAGCAAGTATGTCCCGAGCTGTGGCGACGTTTAGGACCTGCAAGCGTTGAGGCCTGCATGATAACGGGTTTGATTTCCTGGACGTGGAACGGGTGGAGAGGAGATTTACTGGAAAAAGGAACGACCCAAAAAAAGGGGAGTGGGGCCCTTGTCGATGACGACCGACGGTTGGTACCCGTTGCACACACACACACACACACATCATTGCTCTTTGATTGCCCGGGTCAATAGATGCGTGTGTGCCGCTGCACAAACCCACTGTATCAACTCGAGGAAGGGCCTCGGACCCGCGATGCATGTGCGTAGTATAGTAAGTAGTATGTATGCGGAACTCCGCCGTCCCGTCGTTGCTTGATACAAGGTTATGGGGGGTCCCCCTTCCTTTCCCTCCCGACTACGAGTCAGGGTCCAACCATTTTCCCTTTCTGCGTTTCTTGTCTTCCCCCTTCACAAACATGTGACAGGTTGTATTACTGTACCACATAATCCACACACACACACACACACACACACAAGCGCACTCACATCACTTTACACGTTTTATTTTCCCTGGACAAAAGCCCGGGCTGCTCGCCTTAAAACACGCCATGCCCTTGCTTACCTGGACCTGGACCTGGACCTGAACCTGTTTGCGCCCCCCTCGAGGGGATTGTCAGCGCTAACGCCACAATCCCCTCCCCCAAAAAAACAACGCAATCCACTGACGATATCGAGCATCCGCTTTTATGTATCGTTTGTACATTTGTATGCGTGTTGTTGGATACACAACATACTAATAGCCTCTGGCGAGAGAAAAAATCCCCACCCCACCAAAGCACTTCCCATGCCCATTCCGCATACTTACCTCTTTGGGGCCCCCTTAGCGTCATGTACACAGTCCCTTTGGGGGCGGCGCACCGCCTCCCCTTCCCTTAACCCTCCCACACTATCGCCCACATCTCCGTGCATTATCGGACTTGCCGCTTAGAGGCAGCATCGCGCCATTGCTAAACTTATTTTTTTCTTGGAGCCGGGCGCCCGCTCCATCATGATCTCTCTCTGCTAAGCCGAAAATCCCTGTTCCCTGTTTCCGAATTTGCCCTCTTTTCCCTTTACTACTACTACACGTTTTTCCCTGTCACCCTCAACCCCCCCTTTACATCCTATATCCTTGCATATTTTCTTTCATGGGGGGGAGGGGTGGGAAGGGATAAAAGGTTTGTAGTGGAGGGTTGGAAAGGGTAATTAAGCGAAGGGAAGGGGTGTGTGTGGTTGCAAGTGCTGCGGGGTACGTGGTTTGAGATTGATGATGGAGGGAAACGGGAAGGATCTGGCGAGATTGGCGTGGCTGCGCTGTGGCACACTAACTTTTGGTTGCGTGATATTTTGGTGGATGGATGGATGGAAGGGCAGGGAGGTGAGGAATGGTGTGTAGGGGTGGGGAAGGAGGCGAAGAGGACGCAACATGATAGAGTTGTGGCCGTCCCGGATCATGTCAGCAAAAGTGTTTTGCTGGAAGGAAGGGGAATTGATTGCCGAAGGGGTGGTGAGGGGAGGAGGAAGACTTTCGGCATGTGGGTTAGGCGCTGGTGTTGGATTGGGGGGGGGGGGCGACTAGATGGATGTTCCTTCTTCCTCGCCCTCTTGGTCTCTAGAGAGTAGCGTGTAGTTGTCATTGGTGTGCGTTGGCGCGGGGCGTCAATTGATCATGGGAAGAGCTTACCACTGGAATCAATGGGTCGAGGGGGTAGATCTCCTGGCGTGTGTTGGCTATGTTAGTTGCCGCTGTCATGATATGCCCTTGCACAAAGTTTAGAAAAGAAACTCTCCCCTTATGTGTCGACATGAATGTATTGGGTATCTAGTAGTGCAAGTGCATTGCACCTTGTGGGGTGGCGTGCAATTGGGCGTTGAGGGAGCGTATACATGTGCCGATTGGAGCAGGAGACATGTCATGTGTAAGTTGGAAGTAAGAGGAAGCATGTTTGCTTTCTGTATTAGGCAATCGTTGCAAGCCCTCTCTCTTCGTCGTTGTTGTTGGGAGGGGTGTGTGGTTGTACCTTTTGTGGCGAAAAAATATTTAACATAGCCGCTGGGCCCTTATTTTTCGCCAACATGCACCTTTTTGAAAGTCCGCACTATTGGCGTCTTTCGATCTACCCACCTGACCATGTGAGGCTCTTGTTCAATTCGTCTATTTACCTAGCACGTAGCGTGTTCGCCCAACCACCTGGCTGATATACTCGGTTGGCTTTGCACACCATACACACACACACACACACATCCCTACATAGACGCCTCCCAACGCCCTCTCACCGGAACAAGGGCACATGTGCGAATCACAGCCTCTGGGTTTGTCAATCTGCCCAATGTTGCCCAACCTGCCCACACGAGAAAGCGCACTTCAAAACATTCAAGGATAGACGCCTCTTTTTTTTAAACTCACTTGTCTCAGCCTTTCAGCCCTGCCCGCCTGCGGACTAGATCTGGCATGGTAGCAGGACTAGCGCGTCGCCCCGAGGCACTGGACTTGCAACCAAGCGCTTGTCGCGCCTTCGACTCCTTCTTGGTACGCGCGTTCGTATTCCCTCCCCCCCCCCCTCGCTCGAGAACCGCCGCGTGATCAACGTAGCGAATCCATGGGCCTGCAGCGAATCATCCTCGAACCCGCGCTCCCATAGCTTTTCCGCCCGGACTCTTGCCGCATCGCCTTCTCTGACGATGCGCTACTGGCCCTTCTCTGTCTCTCTCTTGTCGCGAAACAATGCTCCCTCTCCACCTTCGATATTAAGATGGGCATGATATCTTTAAACCCCATTAATTTCGGGGATCAACCTTGCAATCCTGCCTCTCGAGACGTCATTGACTTGCAAAGCGAGTTACATCCATTTTACCCTTTGACCTCGCCGCCCCCACACACACACATATCCTTTCGCCCTATCTCGCGATATTTCGCTCCCACCATCGCGGGTTTTCCCAGCGAACACTTGTCCTTTTTATCATCTTTGCTTTTTCGTTGTTATTGTTGTTTTTGTTTTTTTCTCTTTGCACCTGCAGCTGCGAGATCAAGCGACTAGCAAATATCTCATGCATGAAATTATTGCGCCAAATGTTTCCCTTCCTGCTTGCTGACCATACACACACACCCCTTCCCAGCCTCCCATCCGCATCTCACACACCCCCTGCGATCGCTGGGCTTGAAACCCTTGTTCCCAATACTATGGTAGACTTTTACTAGCTTCAATAGCCGACTGAATCGTAACCCTTCGTCTCTCTCTACTGCCCGAACAAGGGACTTCCCTCCCTCTCTCTTAACTTTGTTTCTTTCCTCCGACCGACCGGGTGTCGGCGACGGCGGCGGCGGCGACGGCGGGCAAGTCGGCATGCTAACTAACAATCATCATCATCATCATCATCAAAAAAAGGCCCGAAGGCACGACTTCCTTTCCCTTCCCGCCCCTATGGAAAAAGAACAGCCGACGCAGAACTGCCGCTGACAATTATGTCACAGCTGTGGTTTTGAAAACGAAAAGTCCCCGTTTAGGTTTTGGCTACGGTAGTCCTCTTTTTAATAGCTTAGGTATCCCGGTCATTAACATTTGTATACGCTCAAATTTCTCAACCCGCCCGGGTTCCCGTTTTGCGCATCCGGCGGCGCTTCCTTGCCTTCTGATTGTTTCCTTCGGCCTTAATGGGGTGGGGAGTGGGAACAGAGGGAAAAAAATATTGAAGGTACGCGTCGCGCCGGATCCCGGGGATCGCCTCCGCCTCTCCCTTTCCCCCCTTCCCTTCTTCGAAATGACTCTGGTGGTGAGACCCTTCTTTTTTTCTCTATGAGCGGGAAACTCTGGGTATCTGAAACTTCCTCTGCCGCCAGCGCGGGTTCTGGGCAGATTTGCCGTGAGAGTTACCTAGTTTTGACTGGTGAATATTGTGTGCACAGAGCCTCCTATTCTCCGGTGAAAAGACTATTGGAAGCTTGAAAGAAAATGTTTGATTTTGACTTCGCTTGCAACATCTAAACTTGCCTACGTATGATTTTTTTACCATTT